AGGGATAGTCCATTTGGCGATGAAGCTTTGCATTCTGGTTTGCATCATTATTACAACATGAGGTTTGTCTGGATGTCATCTTGTAAACTGACGCCCCATGCTTGCCAAGAAGTCGCACGAGCACTGCCTCATCTAGTGGTGGAAGTGATTAGAAGTGAAGAAGGGAGAAGTGTTGATGATACTGTTGAGATATTATACATGTATCGATCCCTTGATGGACCAAGAGACGATGCTCCCCAATTTGTCACCATCATGCAATAGACTTTAAATTCGAGAAGTTAGCTTATTTCTATTGTGGCTGCTGGGTGAAATTGTAAAGCAGGAAATTTTTATAAAAGCCTGCCTGAAGATTGGTGCTATCCATGTAAAACAAAGCTGAGCTAGCAATTTCTTTTTTTGGCCTGGGCTACTGAGATGGCATGCCATGAAGCGACTATTGTGAGGATACATTTCAGTTTTCTCGTTATAGTTTGTTGCAGAGGACCTGGGAGGAGGGGGCTAGGAGAAATGGGTGGTTGGAGGGAGACAATGTAGAAGATGAATATCTGCGGGTATTGGACCATCTGATGTTGGATCGCTCTACACTTTGGATTCATGTCTTTTTTCCTTTTAGATTTATTTGACCATAAAGGAAGACCACCAGAGGAGGGGAAGGGAGGGATTGCCAAATCTGCTCTGAGGATTTGCTTACTCGAAATTCATCTTCTCAAAGTCCTACAGGAAGCTGATTCAGAGGTATCAAAATTGAAGGGTTGGAGAGGTGACATCCTCTAACTTTTCTACCATAGCAATAGAGGAGCAAAAGCATTCACTTTGTAAGAACTTAGTTTGTTTATTTTGATTCAAATGATAGTTAGCTTAAGCTGTAGCTGATGAGGACTAAATCCCTTGGCCGAATATACACATCTCGGTCTCTCCCTTTCTCTCAGGAGTTTGTTCCTTTTTTTCCCCCCAATTTATTTTTCCGGACGTGTTGCTGTAGCTCCTGACTGTTGAATTTATTGTTATTGTTAGCAATTGTGAGATGGCTAATAAATGCCAGAATACGCAGGGTCCATGTAATACAGATACTTAGTGCGACTGTGCCTGTGTCTTTCCTTTTCTGAATGGGGAATGATCAATTGACAGTGAGGCCCATTCATGATGTGCGGAAAGTGTTTGTACAAGTAGTCAAGTACACGTCGCAGGACAACCCCCTTCCCCCTCCCCCTTCTTTCTTTCTCGTGCGTTTCCATGCTGTTGCGAGGTTTCTCTTAAACCTCTCCCTGAACCATGTGATGTCCTTCTGGCTCTTGCCATCTCACTAACCTCACACAACCTCCCCAAGTAATCCGAGTCACATTTTCGCCCAACAGTTGTACTTGTTTTCAGTTTCGGTCTCTGTTCATCTCCCTCTGCTCTTATGATATGGCTCCCCGCAGGCTGTGGTTGCCGCCTGTAGGCGTCTGAGTTTCTGCCGTTTTCCATTTAATCAAAGTTTCAAAGGAATAAAGGAAAATAATCCAATTATGAAGAGATGAAAATTTACATTCAACTTGGTCAAAAAATGGCCTTCCCTTCTCATTGTTGGGGGCACTTTGGTGTTCAGTGTGGCAGGACCCGAGGTTAAAAACGAAGTTACGATCAAAGTGGAATCTGATTGTGCAATTGAATAACCGATGGGAACCAACGCCCCGCCGTTTTCTAGCCCCTTTCGTCCACTATTTGTGTCGTCAATCGGATTGCTTGATCACTAACAATGCTTCCATTGCTTGTGGTGGGAATAGTCCCTCATGGGATCAAGCAGGCCATTTCTTTCACACATGAAGATAATATCGTTTATTTTTCTCTGGTTCTTTCTATTTGCCTGGGTTATTCTCTCTCCGATCACCAGCCATTACTGTCCCGAGGAAGAGAAAATAATAAGAGGGACTTTGATAATGATGTTACGGAAAGGACAAGGTTCCATAAATCCTTCAATTATGGCCGTCGGATGCGTTAAAATGTTGAAATGACCCAAGTGATGGTCCTGTCTTACCTACTGGGCAGACCAATCCAGCGCTTTTTGAATAGAAAAATTCATTCATCAAATTACATGGTCCTGAATGAGAAGAAGCACAAGTTGATTTGGTTATCACATGCATTATACTGTTTCCTCAGCACACAAACATAATGATAATAACAAATACTAATAATTAGAATGAGTTGCAAATGCTAAAAGGCTTGAGGGGGCTGGCTGGATTTGGTTGATTGGTGAAGCCACATCTAAGGGGTGGCCCACTGCCCGATTATTTGAGTATGTGGGCCACGTGTACGGTATTAGGGCTGGGGATGCATTAATGACATTGTCCACATTAAGATATTATATAATCATGCATTTACTAATAATAATGATACCATGTTTGATAACATAATGGTGGAGAGATGCAGATTGCAGAAGCTAGCGTACACTGTAACAAACACTGAAAGAATCCCCAGCTACTATCTCTGGCAGTCCCCAGTGGGTAGTGCCGTGGTGGTGGCACTTGGAGATTTGAAGCTTAAAAGTAATCAACAACGTTGGTTAAGTCCCAGAATCAAAACAAACAGGTTAATTTTGTTTTATTTATTTATTTTTTCCCCAAAAAAAATTACCCCTTGTGATGCTTCTGTTAACCACAATTCATGGCTGATCTAAGCGCAGCTCAGCCACTAAACCATGCTTCCATGTGCTATGCCACTGGACTAAACTCTTCCACACTTGTCGTTATCCTCTTTCCTTTTTTTAAATGATATTTAATAATGCGCTCTTTACTATCACCATTTCCAGGATTGATCCTCACTTCATATATTTTATATGGAGACATCACACGCAATTGCTTAAGTTGTCGGAGTACAATAAAAGGAAAAAGGAAAGACTATAACGTTCACTTATTAAACATCAGTCCTTGGTTTCTCTTCAGAATGTGCAGATAGCAGAACAAGAAGAAGGGCCTATCTTATCTGGAAGCTGTGTTTTGCTTTTAGCAGAAACCGATGAGACTGTGTTATGCACAGCAAGGCCGAATTACTTTAACCTTTGGGATGGCCATTAGTTCAGATGTCGCCCATTCAAAGGACGAGACATCCACTAATGCAAATGGCTTTTGTCCATAAATCATCATCCATAAGTCACCAGTCAAGTCACATTGTCGGATTTTTTTTATTTTTTAGGCGAGTTGCTGATTTTTGGCCCCTCAAAAGGCTCATCATAATTCAGATAAACGTTCAAGAAAAGAAGTTTCAAAAGAGAAACTATCATTCCCCTGCCTCTGTCTTTGTCCATCCCCAACATGCTTTCAAATTTGTACTCTGACCATTCTCTCTGCCACGTACTATACATACTATACTATATCTGTACCGTATATCTTTTTATTTTGTTGATGATTAAAAAAAAATTAAGAAAACGAGCAGAAAAAATCGTTCAGGCTCTTGAATAACTTTCTGCATAAACATGACCTTATCTTGGCAATTAAACTAAATCTTTGTTAACGATGTACTCTTTATCTCCTCACAGAAAAAGCAAACACATTCTTGATGTTAAGAAAGCGAGGCTCCTAGAGTTGATGGATATAAGGGAGAGGAAGGGGCCACTTCCTAGTACAAAATCGACAAATGGGTGATCCAGCTCCATGGAAGGTTGGTCTCGATGATAGGGTTTGATATTGATGTCATTATGTGTCAAATTGCTCTCGCAACAGAACCATTAACGTCTTATATTTGGTGAGTCCGATCAAACAGCTCCCCCCACTTGTGGAATATCAAGAACAATCTTCAAAGCCTGAGAACTTGAAATCCATTATTTGGGCTATAAGCTTTTTTTTTTTTAAAAAAAAAAAATTCTTTCTTTTTTATGGGGTGGATATGATATGAGAGAGAGAGAGAGAATCTTCCAATCATTTCTCCTTTAGAAGTCCTGTAAAATAATCCCATGCCGCATCATCATCTTCTGGGTAGCTTTCAAGAATGACATGTAACAACTGGGAGCCCTCTTTGGCGTTTGAATTTCGATCTCAGACTGTGATATCATTGAGGAGGTGAAGGCCAACCTTTGAAAAGAAAGTGGTTGGTATGGTGAGTGGAAAACCCTGATCAAAATATGGCCTCTCAGATAAAGCAAGGGCGTCAGGTTACAGCTTCGCCTTGGTCAAAAGCAACTTGAAAAGAAATTTGCTGATTTTCAAATTCATGGTGGTCCCTAGTTTGGCATGATCCACTTCATCAACCTAACCAATACTGAAAAAATATCAACAAGCGTCCAAATTGTTGGAGAACCATCCACCGATTTGAAAAGGAATGGGACAATTAATAGTTTATATTATTTTCCCCTTTATATTTCAGCAGGAGCCACTTTAGGTGTTCCCTGTCCATCAGTCGGTACGTGGATTCTATTCAGCCATTAACACGCACCCTCTATTTTCATAAGCCTTCATCCAAAATAGTGAAATACCCATCTTGGGGCCAAAAATTCACCCTTTGATCATCTGGGTTCATAAAATTGGGATCCCTTAAAGCTTGTCCCATTACAAGAGAGGTGTGATATTTACTAGCCACTCACCAATTCTCAGGACCTCTCAAAGCACATGGCGGTGACCAGAATCACAAGATCTGAGAAAACTCGAATCCGTCCTTTCATAACCAGTTGACTCAGTGAAGTTGTAGAGAAAAGATGAATTTCTGGCTTCCATGTGTGTGTGTTATATGCATGTGCGCGCGCGCGAGCGTATGGCAAATTACGATAAAACACAGGTCGGCGGGGGAACAAGCGTAAATATGTATCTAGACAGGCTACGAAATAAATAGAGCTGTTCCATGTCATGCACGCCTGCATTCGTTCACTGTATATATAAATTGGTAATTTTGATCTTGATTAGATTTTTATCTCGACTTAGTTGTCAACAGGAAATGGCAGACTAAATATCACCTCTCGTGATAAAAAAGTTTTAGTTGCGGGGTACAAATTGTGAATGCTACCTTATCGTATCATATCGAATGGCTCATAATTAAATTGACCTGCATTAGAAATGAGTATCAACACGGTTCGGCAATCAGTGTTGTCAAACGAAAATCAGTGTCGCCGAAAACGGCAACTCATGCTGATCTCAAATAAGAAAGGATAAGAGTACAATGTTGACATTCACGTTATTGCTACCATATAGGGGATGCTGACATCTACATAATTGACAGCGTTCTATAGTTGCCATCAATTGAATAAATTCAGGACTAATTGGAACTATCATGATATCAAATGCCTTATTTTCACTACTTGTAAGTCTACAGTATGCTTCCGTATTCCACTGAGATTGCACATCCTCATCAAACTTTTTCATTATTTGATCATCTACAGCACACCGCCTACTAATATCTATCGCATGCTAGATGTTGAAATTTCAAAATTAGGGCGCCAACCGCTCAATCTTCCATGCTCGTTGTCCATTTATCTCGAGGGGGGAATAACGCAACCTGTCGGCAAATCATCCACAACGAAACCATAAGAAACCCTCGCAGATAATTCTCTTCCCACAGTTTGTGAATACAACAGCTTCTAATGACAACTGTATACAGAATAATACTGTTGCCCAAACAAAAGATTGTTAGTTCATCTTCACAACTCAGCAAGGTCCAAGACGGTTTCCGTCATAAATGTGGAAAACCGAATTATAGTCCCACACCCACTGTTTGTCCATGTTATAACGAACAATATACATAAAAATCAACCTGTCATAAACGGGATAACAACCACCTGTCATGCAAACGAGACGGCTGCCCTTGCCAAAACTCAAAAAGTTGTGGCGTCAATCTGTATCCTCCCCAGTTTCTGGGTTTAGGGATCAAGCTACTGCAATCAGAAAAATAGAAGTATTACTTCCCAACTCGCATGGAGTTGACAAATGGCAGGACATATGAATTGTTAAAAAGACAGTGTAATGTTGAAGGCGTGAATGATAAGCTAACCAGAGCTAAGATTCATCCCAGAAAGATTTGGAAAATTTAACATATCACGAAAAATAAATTAGAATCATAGGTATTCTAGTTGGTATCACGGACAGAATACTAACAGAAGTGGTCTATTCGGAAAACAGTAGTAGTGAAAGGAAATGGAAGAATCAAGATTTAAATTGAATCTAGATACGTATGATTGCTAATATTTAGTACATTTTTTCTATGGTCATCTTGTCATCATCCATTGCTAAAATTTATTCTCCATCTTTTCTATTGTCATCTTTTTTATTCCCAAATGAAGCCTAGTATTTAAAAGATGGTCTAAGACTTACCCATCAGCAAATTTTTGCTCCAGCTCTTTATACTCCTGATGAAGAACATGTCTTCCAGGTACTACCATACTCTAAAGATCAAGCAACTGGTAAAATTTGCATTCAAAAACTATCAGAATTGAGTATAAATAAATTACAGCGAACCTGCTTGCTAACTATTGCTCCAATCTGACTTCCTCTAGGACGGCTATGGAAATACTGTTCTGATTCTTCGTCTGAGACTTTCTGCACAGATCCCTCCACTCGTACCTTGGAAAAGGGGTAAAAAAAAAAAGGAATGGTAACTCTTTCGATTGATTTAAAAAAAAAAAAAAAAACCAAGAGAGTTCTGGATCTTGTCTTATTCAACTTTTCAAGTACAAGCCTTTATAAATATATAGCAATAGTCAATATGACTGAGTTCAAGACCTAATTCTAAGACACGTCTAACTGCATAAACTGGGCTTGGGCTTGCATATTGAAACCTAGCTTAGTTAACACGAGAATCTCAACTAAGTAACATAACTAAACTAACTATATTTCAACAGACATGATCCTTGTCTAAGAAGGTCTTCTAAATATTGGCCAAAAAAATGTAAGGAAGGCGATCAATGAATTATGAGTTATGCCTTCATTAAGCAGAGTTATAAGCATTTCAGGTCATTTCGACAGGCGACCTGTTACAAACCATCACTGCCTCAGCTTGTTAACTTACAATGTAAAGCTATTTAGCAAAGAAAGCTGCTCTGCCGTAAACCTTCATGACAGGGAGTAAAACATTTTTGCTCAAATATACTCTCGGACGAGTTGCAAATTATAATATATACGCATATAGACACAAACACACATTAATGAGCAACAAATACAAAAGTCAAAATCAAGCTAAAATTTAAGATAACCAGTTTGTAGCTCTCAATCACTTTAAATTATCCTAATATATTTCATGTGGTGACTAGGTTAAAAAAAAAAAAAAAAACAATTCACTCTTGATAAGCTCGTCAACAGTTCTGACATCAAGACAATTTTCTGAAATCTGTGGCATGCAAAAGGTAACTGCTTGAAAAGAGGAAAAAGATTGAGGCTAGAGAGACTAACAAAAGATATCCTCAGTCTAGACAAGCATATTGTTAAAGAAGAGAAGATAAAGCAATATTAGATGCTCATCAATACTTTGCAACGTAACCTCAAACCAATTAAAATAAAGTTGCATGAAAAATTAATGAATGAAGCTCTTCAAATGTCTGCAACAAGTGCAATTTACAGAGAAACAGAATTTTGCTTACATGGGAAGAGAAAAGTATTGTTTTAAATCTAAACAAAAAGAAAAACTCATCACCCAAAAAATTCAGCACCAAGGTCCTTGAGCTGAAAACTTACCAAAAAGTCCTTATAGGGTAGTAGATTGTCAATATTTTAACAGCCAGAGGTAAGCCTCTGTGTAGGTCTTTAAGTAAGAGCTAATGAAAGAAATAGAGAAGAAAGACAAAATTGGGCTTTTGAAGTTAGGTTCTTGATTTGTGCATTCTGGTTTTCTTCTTTCTCTGAACATATCTTAAAACACTTGCTTTGACAATCTTCATGAGATCTAGATAATAGGTCAACACAGGAGATGCTAATCGACTGATGTTAAACCATATAGAGGAATTTTGATCATCCATGTGTTATGTTTGCATCAGAAAGGAACATGCATCATCATACCCATAGAGGAACAAATTAATATGCAGCAATGGCTAGAATAAGAATAGAAGTTACCTGCCGGTTTAGACCATCCCAGTAGAAAAGAATTGATGCATGAGGATTTTCAGATAGTTCATGTGCCTTCCGGCTTTCATAGTTTGTGTACCTGCACAAAGCCACAAACCAATTGCAGTAGGCGGAAGATAATAATCATTTTTCAAACAGCATCGTTAAGCTCATTACAAAGTATAAACCGCAGATTAATACTGACCACACAAAACCATCCTTGTCCACACCCTTTAACAACACCATTCGTGATGAGCTGCAGCCATATAAAGTAAAGTCAGGAGGAAATTAAGTTCAGTTAGGCAACATATTTATTGTGTGTGTGTGTGTGTGTGTATCAGTTACACAAGACCCTTCAAAGAGTATATTTTGTTCATTCATAATAACCCACCGACCTATATAGGTAAAGATTGAACAAAGTAAAAGAAACAAAGCAAGATGAACAACAGCAAAGCTGATCTTACGGTTTTCCATCCTTTCCTACAGTTGATAAGGCCATAGCATTTGGGTCCTTCAAGGCAGAAGCCAATGCATCATCAAACCATTTACGAAACTACAGGTATTGAGTCATATCATTATCAAACATAAGACAGATGTCGGAGGATTTTAAGAAGCAGCCATGAGCATTGAAATCTCTGTTTTGAGAAATACTAAACCACTGAAGGACCAAAGAGGAGGGGGGCATTTAGAAACAGTATTATTTTACATGAACGTTACCTGGATGATGGGATCTGCATCCACCTGCTCTTCAAGAAACTCTGGAGAGATATAGTTCTCTCTTAGAGCTGAAATATCAACTTGAGGAGGCTTGCCAATTCGAACACACATGGCAGTTCCAGGATAGGGTGGGAGATGAAGCTTATATTTTTCTGCAATGGCAGGTGGGACAAATCTACCTCCTAAAAAGTGATGAGGACCACTAAACTTCTTAGCGCATAATTTTGGTGCTGTCAAAGAAACCTACAAGAAACTTAGAGCATGTTAGTGAGACTGTCACTCAAACAAGACACGGGTTATGTTTACCTGAGTGGATTTAAGCTGCTATATGTAAATTCCAAATTTTGGTGTAAGAAACAATAAAACAGATGTCTCTGAGAATCATACCAACATATCAGGTTTAATGCCTTCGCCATCAAAATCTCCTTCTTCGACATGCCACCCAGAGGGAATATCTACGGAGACTATAACTGATCTTTTTTGACCAGCTTGTTCATGCTTACGTAAAATGACAAGCCTCTGGATCAGATCATCAAAAGGAGGTCTTGGAGTACCTATTAAAATTTGAAATTTACTCATTCCAATACACTATAATAACAGAGTCATGCATCAATAATAAAGAAAATCCACTAAATCTCAAGACTTTGAAGTGAGTCCAAAATTCAGAAAAGAACCAGAAGAGGTAGGCAAAAATTATCATGGGTAATCATAACTTTAGGACATACCTTGCCAACAAGGCCCTGTTTACGTTGATGGCCAGAAATGTTGTAAAATAAATTTTGATCACTGATAGAACGAGACCTTTTTAGATGATGAAATGGTTAGAAAAGCAAGGATACCAAATTGCTTATTAATTTCAAAATTTTTGGGATTCTAGCAATCAGTTGTGACATTGTTGTGGCATTATGAGTTTGCATAACATAAAAGTTCAAATTTTTTACTATGCAAGTCGCACAAGGTTTGATGGCTCTCTATAAGGGATTCAAAAACAATAAATTCAAAAAAATAAATTGCAAATTACCATGGAATGAGAACCCAAACATAGCATCTATTACAATGTCAAAGTCCTTTGACAAGTCTGATTTCAGATCTTCCACCGATAGGAATGGGATTGATAGTGATTCAAGCTGCAACAACAATCATTCAATTGAGACTCACAGCAACTCGTAACAAACTACCATGCCAAAGAAATAATTGGCAGGGAGATACAAGATATGAAGAAGTGGTTCAAAAGTTTCTCAGCTGGAGTTTCCCCCTACCTGAGTAACTAATCCAGTATAAAGAGGCTTGGCAGTACGTTTGGGATAGCAGACACAGGGCTTGTAGCCGAAGTGATGAAGGTGACGGGCAGCCACCAGACCATCGCCCCCGTTATTCCCAGGTCCACAAATAGTAAGTACTCGGAAATGCTCACTTGGTTTGTAAACCTGTAGGATAAACTTAATTTTAAGCACAACGTTTCCATGATATTTGCAGGCTGACGTTCATAGGCAACACAATTCTCTAGAAGAATGCTTGGTATAGCAGACGATGGAGTCACAGAACAGATTGAAAGACTCAAAATATTCTTATTGCAGAAAACTCGTGACTGAATTATGGAATTACGGAATTTATAACGTGCTATAACTAACTTAAATATAATTATTGCAGAAAACTCATTGTTGAATCTGTCTACGTGAATTTTCGACATTTTTATTCAGTTCATTTCCACCATGAAAGGAGTGCAGCTACAAAGAAAACCCAACAGATAAATAAAAAAAAGGTAATAATAATCACCTCTGCTACGGACGTGGCAACACTCAAACCAGCCAATTCCTACAACCGCAAATGCACAAGGAACACAAATTGAAACCATTAAGCAATGACAGTAAAGGAAATTATACTGCAGAAAGAGAAGTAGAGAAGTCTACGACGAAGATTAACCATCAACTGGTCGACACTAAATCCAAGAGGACCCATGAGGATCTCATCGATCTCAGCAGCTTCCCGCTGAGCCAGGTACGAAATAGAGTCGTGGCTCTCCATGGTTTGCCCGAACACAGCAGCTCTGGACGCTGCAGCTTCAGTGAACGCAGTACAAAATGCCCGAACTCCCGGGGTACAAATTGGGCCTCGAATGCACTGAAATAAGAAGCAGCACAAAATTATAAATTTGGCGAACAGTAGCTTGAAGAGCTGAGAGAGAAACTGGAATAAAGACTTTGATGAAGCAGAGAAATGGCCTACAGAGAGGAGTTTAGGAGAAGCGGAGTGGGGCTTGGGGACGCTAGCGTAGAAGAGAGCGTTCGGAATATGAGCGAGTGCGTGGTTAGCGTATAAACGTGTCATCGTTCTTGCCTTCCGCGCCAACGAACGCATTGGGTGCTTCCGTTGGGCTCCGTTCCTTCTGAACCTCCCCCAATTTAATTGCCATGTGTGATCCTTTGGAGATTATTGGATCCTGCCAGCAGCACACCCTCCCTTCAGCATTATATGATTGTATACGGAATATAAATAATCAAATCACAAATAGCTGTTGGCAAAAAAAAAAAGCACATGACTTTAAAAAAAGTTAAAAATAATAATAAATGTGTAAAAAAATATGTTTTATTTTTTTAAAATATTCTCATTTATGGAGAGAGGGATGATGAGTGAGATGAGAGAAAGATCAAATGAATAGCTAAGAAAAAGAAGTCAATAAAAATGATATAACATATGATTAATGGCAACAATAATAAAAAAATAGTTAAAGTTTCAGATAAATAAGACCCCAAAAATTATATCTTATACATAAAATTGGAGGGAGTAATGAATAAATTGGTTATTAATAGTTACTGCACGTTATAAGAAAATAATACTCCTCCGGTCCTTATTATAAGACCCTATTTGACTTTTTATTTGGTCCTAATTATAAGACCCCAATCCATTTTGTCTCTTATATTTATGCATTTTTTTTCAAGATAATCCTTCTAATAATGATAGTTTTAGCCAATATACTTAATTAGCAAGGATATTTTAGGAATGACAACACTTATTTATTATAAATAACCAACTTAACTTACTTCCTTAATCTTCTCAAATAAGTCAATTGAGTCTTATAATTAGGACGGGAGGAGTACTTAATTAGCTACTATATTTCAATTTTAAATCACGGAGATCTTTTTGTGTCTGTCAATAATTGGCATCTGGTCATTGACGACGGGCGAACATACGTGCTGCCAGGCCACGGGCTTAGGCGTTTGGCTGCTATATAAGAACAATTGTTTGTAAGCGGAAAAACGACTTCCTTTATTGGTTGCATCATCTATCGGTTTGATTTTTTTAAAGTAGAGGGAGAAAAGAAAGTAGTCTGACTTTAAAAAAATCGAACCGGGTCAGTTACCATTCATCAGCTGAATTGGACCATTTGACTTCAATTTGTAGGGATTATTATTAGTATTGATTAAAACCAACGAAGTCAATTCTGTCCACGCGCAGCTCTCTGTCACACACTCTTTATATGATGATATTTTAACACATACTTGGGGTGTTTAAGCCTTTTATAATCCGCCCTTTACAAAATGTTATAAGACTTCAGTACACAGATGGTGAGCCTTTTATAAACCACGTCTTGTCACTTCATATTATTTCCAGTGACAATACATGACAAGAGAACAAGCAGGGAACAATTTTATGGGGATGGGGAAGTATAAATAAGTTGGGAAAATGAAAGGGAAGCGAAAAAGATCTTGGCCAGATACTTGCCATAATTCATTTCTCAAATTCCCGTGCCTTTTGAAGGAACTTCCAGGTGGAGGGGGCAATTCGTGCTGAGACAAGTTAATGGCGTGTCAATCAAGGATATGTTCTGATCGTTAAACTACACCATACGCCTACCTTGTGTTTCTGGAGTTTCTATTACCCTCTTTAATTAGAGACCAATTCGCTCGCAAATTCATAATAGATAATGTTATTTTTCCATTATAAATATAACACTTAGTTTCTAGTGTAAATTACATAATAAACTAGATTTTATATTTAAGATCGGAGGTAGTATTACAATGTTCTACCCAACTCATTTCATATTGATTCCGTGTGATACCATAAGTAAAAAATACTTTGTCAATTACTTTTTTTTTTTGTCAGACACTTGATTTTACAATGTATGTGCTCCCTCCAAAATTTTTTTTATCCATTTATATTTATAAAAAAATAGTTAAAATCAGTTTAAAATAATAAATATGTAATGAATATTTTTTTCTCAAATATGCCCTTATTAATAAAAAAACTAAAAGATATAATAAATGGATTAAAAAAGAGAGAATATATGTAGGGCAAAATAAAAAAAACACATTAAATGTTTAAATAAAAGTGAATATTATCTTATTAAAAAAAGCAAAGCTCTTCAACAAAGTTTATCTCATATTTTGAACTTGAGGGAGTATTAATTATGTAGATGTCACAATAATCGAATTGTTTCATAATAAATAATTCTTTATCTCGATCTATTATTCAGTTTAATTAATTTTTAATTTTGTAGACATAAATGGTTTCCGTGATTTTTGACAAACCAAAAGAAAAAAAAAATGTGCGCGTGCGTACAGACTTCAGACCTGAGAGATAGAATAGGCATGGAGCTACTAAATTAACAAGACACAAAAATAATGACGTCCTGGCGGGCAAATTAGCCCATCTATGTTTATTTCTGGTCCTCGCATAACTTTTGAACTCTTTCGATGAAACTTGTCACGGTCTTCAAACTATCATCATCTGAGAAGAAAAGCGACGGAAGAACTATTTTAATACGAATAACCCAATTGCAAGCAATGTATTGTAGAAAAAAGCGACAAAACAATAATCTAAAATACGATCAAATGATGTACCTATTCTTGGTATTGTGTGGCCTTTAGGGTGCTTAATTACCACTGGTTCAACGCATGATTCCAGCAGTTCAGCCCCATACGGTCTTAAAAAATCTGTCTCCCCTGTAACCGCAAAACCTTATCATTTACATCGTTTTTTTTTTGGCATAATTGATTTTTTTAGCACTTAAAGCGTCACTATAAATCCCATTTGGAAAAAAAAAATCTCTATAATGGCAACCGTACTGTAATAATATGTATGGGATGCATGTGGTGACAATATAATACTCCTCCGGTCCTAATTATAAGACCCAATTGACTTATTTGAGGAGATTAAGGAAGTAAGTTAAGTTGGTTATTTATAATAAATAAGTGTTATCATTCCTAAAATATCCTTACTAATTAAGTATATTGGCTAAAACTATCATCATTAGAAGGATTATCTTGGAAAAAATGCATAAATATAAGAGACAAAATGGATTGGGGTCTTATAATTAGGACCAAATAAAAAGTCAAATAGGGTCTTATAATAAGGACCGGAGGAGTATTAAATTATGAAAACCAGTAGGAAACTAAAAAATGTATCCTATCGACACAAAGTTACTGTATGATTATACTTTTAAGGAAAGAATAAAGACTTACGATTTGAAGTTTGTAAAATGAATAATAATCACAATCATGCATTTTCTAAAATTATAACCATGTCCTCTTAAAATTAATTTTCATAAACCCGTATATAAATAGAAATTTCCGTATTGGAAAAAAAAAAAATCAAAATGCAAGGGACCATTTTATTGTTTAATCACAACACGACGTGAAAGATGATTCGCAGGAAACTAGTTATCTGTCTGTCTTGCGTAAAAAGCAGAGTAAGGAGGTGTTTGGATATAATCAAACCATGATTTGGAGAATAGCTTTTGGAGAATAGATTTTGAGGAGAATATATTTTGTGAAAAAGTGATTCTGAGAAATGAGAGTGTTTGGATAGTTGTTATCAGAAGCACTTTTTATATGTACAAATTACTAAAAAAGGCATAAGTTAATATGATAATTACAGAAAAAATATATTTTATGACATATTTTAATTTGAAGGAATAAAATTGTTAATAATATATTTTTTATTAACATAATTAATAATACATAAGATAATATAATTAATAAATAATTAATATGTATATATATTTATAAGATATAAGATTAAATATATTTATAAAAAAATATGTTTATAAAAAAAACAAGATACATATCTTATAGGCTCTCACACTCTCCTTTTCTTTTCAAAAGCAAAAATTTTTGATTTTCCCAAAACCATAATTTTGGTTTCTTTAAGGGTGTTTGAATGATTTTTTCTCAGACCATGGTTTGGGTTGGAACCCAAACACCCCCTAATAGTTAGATGCTTAGATCAGAGGGGAAAAGAAAAGGGAACCAGCTTCGGAGAAATTTGGGCGGTGGCATGCGTCTGAACGCTATAAGTATTTTCTGTTATTATAATTATAAATAACAAAAAGAACAATGACAACTAAGCAGCGAGCTGTGCATAAAGTAGTCAAAGAAAGCATCGGACGTTACCTAGAAAGTGGAGGGAGGGGCACGAAATTGGTGAAGCATATGCTTTCTCAGCCACCGAAGGTGCCCTGAACTTAGCTCCTCCTATTATTATCAAGAATTTCACTTTCGAAACCTTGTTTAATGCCACACCCTGCACATCATCAACCGCATCAAACCAACTTTTACTATTTCAACCCAGCAATTTTATGATTTTTACACTTTAACTTCGCACAACCAAGTTGCTTTTGTTTTTGTTTTAATGTTTCACATTAATTTGTTTCGAGAATATGAAAAACAGGGGACGTACCTTCTCTTGGAGACCCGGCAGCCCACCGGACAATATCGCTCCCTGTATTCTCACATTCAAACATTTCACCAGCTTCAGCTTGGAGGCCGATGGATTTGAATAATGAATACTGCAAAATTCGTCAGAGGGGAAAAAAAATTTTACCTGAGAGAAACCTAGAAGACCATCGAAGGGCCCGTGCTCGATCATGAAATCCTCTATATATTTCAGGCATTCATCGAAGTTCGTGTATTCTGTAAATTCCTGTTAATCACAGCATAACACGATCCAAGATATGCACGGGTTATTAAAACCACAATCCTAAAATCCGACGTAGTCGTGCTTGTAGATCCCCAAACAAATTAAAGAGATTGATTATGTACAAAGAGAACCTTGTTGAACTGGAACCACTCGTAATAAGGAGGGTCGAAGATGCCTTCGACGTCGGATTTGCCCTGGCAGGGAAACGGAGCATCGGCGAAAACGAGATCCATCTTCTGGAGCAGGGATTCCGGCCACTTGTGTATCTGTTTCTTAAGAATTTCTGCACTCGTTCTGAAGCCATGAAGGCACAATACTCTCGGCTTCCTGGCGTTCACTCCGATGTCACCTTCGCTACCCATTTCGTGAATCTGCTTCGTCCTCAGTGACGGGCAGAATTTAAAAGCGTGGTTGAAAGTCAAAAGGGCCGCCTGTTGTGCGGATCCCTCACCCAAGTTATTCACATTCCATTTCGGCTGCTTCGCGCTTTGAGAATGAGGTCGCCTGAAACGACAGACGCACAACGATTAAATTGAATTGGGTTTTGGTTATAATATCTTGGCCCGTAAGAAGCAATACAGCCTGACATTATTATCGTGGCTCTGCAAGAGCCGCGTCGTGATTATTTATGGAGCCTTTTGTGGCATGAATTATTCATGATGACGTAAACTAGGTCGTCAAGATTTTTCACACGGGAAAGGCCACGTTTTGTTCACTATAAATATTTTGATTTGGAAGCGAGATAAAAAATGGAAGGAAAAAAATGGCTTCGAACTTCTAAACGCACATTTGCTCTGGGCCTCGGACAGAAAAACTGAATAGCGTCCTACAGGCAGGCTTTTGACTTGGTACGGATGAATTAAATATGAAGAGGAAGCCAAAAATATTAAACAGTCCGTTATGGCTCTGCGCTTCCTTTTTCCTCTCAAGAATATCAAGAGCCGAATGAAGAAGACGAAGGGTGGTCTGGGATCGGAGAGATGGAGTCGTGGAGGAAACTGATTACAACTTTGAATTTATAATACTTTTCCGCTCTTTAATATAAAACCTATTTAATTAATTTGATTAGATTAAAAAAATTAGATAAGTTAGTTGATTATAAGAAATGTGACACGTTTTTCCTAAAATACCATAATCATCTTTCTTAATATCTTATCTTCCTCTTCTAGCTAATTATGGTTGATGGAGTATCCATAAGAGTAATTTAGAAAAAATAATAAATATAAAAAATAGGTCTTATATTTAAAATCAAAATCAACTCAAGAATTGGGTCCTATATTAAGAATCAGAAGAATAAAATTTACAGCAAGTGCTACTTGGGTTAAGAATTCAAATCTCCATAATTTGATTATATTAAAGTATTTTTATCTAACTTTATTATCCAGACTCCATAGTAGATTGTATCCTCGTTTAATTTTCATCGAATTTTCAAAATGTGAAATAACGAGAGTTTTCAATAATCGTTGATATACAATGCAATTATTTAATCAATTCAATGCATTTTGAAAAAAGAAACAATGATTGCCAATTGATTGTGATTTAATATAATTTTTCTTAGGCTATCCCCACATGTAATGTGACGTACCGTGGGAAGCATAGGGGATGGTGATGTCTTTCGACAAGTTTTAATACTAGTAATAAATATTAAATATAGATTGATGGCAAGATAAAAAAATAAATAAATATAGATTGATTGCCCTTTTCAATTGGTCATAAAATAATTTGTATTAAAGGCCACCATGGGGCTAACTTGGTTATTTGACCATTTGGTTTGCCACGCCGTTTGAGAAACAACTAGAAATTTTTTCTCCATGTGATCCACAGATTAATATATTTAATTAGATTTTAAGAACATATTTGATAGTTGATTCAAGGCCACCATTAAAAGTTCATCCGTGTTCTGAACTATATATATATTACTACCTCCAGTCCTTAATATAAGACCCGTTTGATTTTTATTTTGGTCTTAAATATAAGACCCCAATCCACTTTATCTCTCATATTTATACTTTTTTTTTTCAAAGTAGCCCTTCTAATAATAAGAATTCTACTCAATACATTTGATCAGTAAGGATATTTTAGGAAAGACAACACCTATTTAGGACAAATAACTAACTCAACTTACTTCCTTAATCTCCTTAAATTAGTCAACTGGCTCTTATAATTAAGACTAGAGGTAGTATTTCATCTGCATCAAAATTAATAACGTATTTTGAAGAATTCACCTATAAATTTTAAATAAAAAATAATTACTTAAAGATCTTAGTCACTGGTAAGCAAAAAGGTTTAAGGTATAAATATTAATTAAAGTTTAACATGTAAATAGGATTGAAAAAATAAATTAATCTATCTGCGTTTAGACTTGAGAAAGCCGGATGCATGTGTTGGCCGGGGAAAAAAAAAAAAAGACAAAGAAAGACGGATGAATGAAATAATAGCATACGCTATTTTGTTAATACTACATTCGGTCACTAATATAACACCTCATCAACTAATTTAAAAATATTTAAAAAGTCATTAAAAATGAATATATTATTAGATTATATATTAATTTATAAGTGAATTAAATTAGTTGGAAGAAAAATGATAGATATAAATATTTTAAAATAATTTAGTACTACCTATGATTCTTAATATAAGAGATAATTTGAATTCAATTTGGTGTTAAGTATAAAATCTTAATCCAATTTGTCTTTTATATTTATTTATGTTTGCACATGTTAAAAATTTCATCAAACAAGAGTTCTAGCTAATATACATCATCCAAAAAAGTACTTTAAGAAAAAAAAGACACTTATTTATTATAAATAACTAACTTAGTTAGTTTTCTTAATATACTTAAATTAGTCAATTAGCCTTTATACTAAGAATAAAAAATGCTAATTTACTCAAATTAGTGAATTTGTTTTATATCAAGGAATATAGGTAATATTATACTACTTTTGATCCTTAATATAATAGTTAGTTTGACTTTTAATTTGGTTCTAAATATAAAAATTCAGTTTACTTTTTCTCTCATATTTTTCTATTTTTCTTAACCTAATTCTTGTAATAGTTACATATATTAAAGGTTTTATCACATGATAGTTTTAGCTAATAAATATAAGGGAAAATTAATTTGAAGATCCTTATAGTTTTTATCAATTTTGAATTAGGTCCTTATACTTTTTTTTCTTTTTATTAAGTCCTTTAATTTTTTACTGTTACATTAGTTAATCCTTACCGTTAAATCACTATTAACATGGTTAAGATTTCCGTTAGGACGTCCGAGACATCTCCTTCACCATCTAGCCTGACCCGTTTCCTCCAACCATCTCTTGCCCAGTTGACAACACCTCCACCCTCTTCCGTTCACACCACCACACTATCTCTCTCTTCTCTTTCGGCACCGAAAAGTTGAGTCCCTAATCTGAAATTCTAGCACAGAAGTTTATGCCGATGAGGATGTTCAACAACTTGACACAACCATGAATTATGCTTTGTGCAACCACTTCGTGCAAATATCCAAACCCTCTTTGTGCTCCTGTTGTGAATTCTCAACCTCTTTGTCTTATGCAAAAGTGAAACCCACTTGGCTTTGATGCAGATACAATTACAGGCTTACCCAATTCACTCACTATGATTCTCTCGCTGGCTTCTTGTGAGGAACCCATGATGGGAACTATGATGGGGTGTTGTGCTGATTAGAGCTGTTTTACCGTAGAGGAGAACACGAATCCTACGTAGCTCAGAACAAGCCAACAGTAAATCCTTTTGACGGCTACGATTTCTTCTTTGTGTGAGTAACCTTGCATACAAAGTTTCGAGTCAGCCCTTGTCGACGATTCTCCAATGGTTGAAACCTCTGTTTTGGCGTCGATGTTGTTGGGTATGAACAAGCACAGATTTTTACAGGTAGTGCTTCTTTGGATTCTGCTGTAGTTTTCTTTTTGCAGGCAAGGAAGACGATTATGGCGAGAATGACAGGGAATATTGATAGACCAAGCAAAGACCAAATCATAAACAATATGGTTAGGAGTGAGAAGATTCATTTTTATGAAGCGTTGAAGAAGAAAATGGAGAGAGAGGAGGAAAGGAGGTGGAAAATGTAGTGAATTTGTCGAAGAGGCAAGAAAAAGTGGAGTATACGTATATGAGAGCTTAACAAAAGTTGGTGTGAGATTGAGGCTTTGAATGTGAAGACAACATAACACCTCTTGCCTCGTGTCGAAGCACAACAGTGGAGGAGATGTTCAGAGGTCCAAACAGAAATATTAACGGCATTAATAGTTATTTAACAGCAGGGACTAATTGATCTAACGATAGATAGTTAAAGGATCTAATAAAAAGGAAAAAAAGTGTAAGGACCTAATTCAAAATTGATGAAAACTATGAGGACTTCCAAATTAATTTTCTCTAAATATAATTAGTAAGAATATTTTACTAACTTAACTAATTTTTTTAATTTATTTAAATTAGTTAAGAAATTAAGTTTTTGAATTTGAAGGTCTTCGGGCCTGTTTGGATGCTCTGAAACCGTGGTTTCAGAAGCACTTTTCTGCAAAACGAGATAACCTCCTCCACATATTTACTTCGTAATCCGTAAAAGCACTTCTGAAACCATGGTTTTGTTTTTATCCAAACACTCCCTTCGACTGGCCGTGAGATTGCATCGACGGTGGATTGGTGCTGGGACAACGTCACTGCCCCGAACGATTAACTGCGGAAACGCAGATCCTGTCCTGGCAAGGCAACGAAAGTCGAAAGGATCGGGTCTGGGCGAGGTGTCGAAGTGGGGAATTTTGATTCTTGAATGAAACAATACAACCGACTCTGATTCAGTTATTTGTTTCCCGCCCGCCGATTCGCCTTTTCTCACCCTTCCCTTTCGTCCCAGAATTTCTATTTTCTTCCTCTTCAATGGCGGCCAATTCGCACAGAGGCGGTTCTTTCTATGGTGACGCCGCCCCTTACCGGTCCAGGTTGTATATCTGTACCTCGCACCCCTCTTGATTTGTCTTTATAGCTCTTTATTTGGTTCCGAGCAATTTGATCGTCTGCGAAGAATTTTCATGGATTGGTATTGGTAGCTCATACCTATGCATATATTGCGATGTATAGACACGGGCTTAGCACGAGACCGGTGGCTGGTTCCGATGAAATCCAATTGAGCATCGATCCGATGGACTTGGACGATGAGATCAGTGGTCTTCACGGCCAAGTTAGAAGGTTGCGACATGTATGTTCTCGATTTTTCAGTTCCTCTTTCTGTTGGTTTTTCCCTCCTTTGATTGATTTTGTGAATACGCTTGATGAGGTAACAAAGGCAAGCTCTAGACTACATGTGTAGTGATGCTATAATGATGAATTGTTATGTGCAGTTCCAATTATTCAGATTGACGAGGAAACATTTTACTTGGTGAGTGCTACAGATGAGAGGGATCTTTTTGTAGATTAATGAGTTGGGAGAGCCGTACTATTTTGTACCTAAACACTACTGAGAAAGATTGGGCCCGTAAAAGTTTCTAGTATTGCCCTTTCTGGGATATAAGATAGAATCTTTGACAATTGATTTGATGCTAGGCTGAGATAATATGGAAATCTGAAACTGAACTTAGTCTCGTCAGCTTGACATGTAATTACTGCCATCCTTCTTCTTATTTATCTTTAACCGGATGTATAGTTTGGCAAAACTTTGTTGTGTTCTTAAGTTTTTGTTTCCTTCTCTGCCTTCATATGTTCTAATACAGTTTCATATCTTCCTAGCGCAGGTCGCTGAGGAGATAGGGACAGAAGTGAGATATCAGAAAGATTTTTTGGAACAGCTGGTACGTTGTCTACTGGAGAACATGTGACTGACATGTTTTCATCATTTATTTCTCAAATTGAAGATTATTAGACATTTCAAATTCTGTTGAATGAAATAAGGAGTTAGTTTTAAACAAGGAAACTTGGATATTTGCTGGCACAAAAAAGGGAAAACTGGATATGCTACTCAAACTTTAACGTGTCTTACGATTTTGAGCAGCAAAGTCACTAATCATGGCAGGAAATGTATTGTTCGTTTAGAAAAGTGGAGTCAACATGATATAATGCCAGGAATTTCAAAACAAAAAAAATTGCACTCACAGTTCTCTTATTCTTTTAATCTTTTCTCAGAACGGACTCCAGAGCAAAATAGTTCTATTTGTGAATCTTGATTACCTGTCAATAATTATGGATGAATGAAATTGTAAGATGAGATGTAATATCTACCTTCTGGTTTTGTTCTATAGAGATGGATTCACTTGACTTTATATAATATTTCATACGTGCCATTTAGTGGTTCATGGTGCTCTCAAAAAGTTTAGACTTCTGTGTATGGTGGCACATTCTGCAACTGAGAGGGGATTATACAGCACACTAGCTCTCAGTTTAAGTCTCTTCTACAGCCTTGCTGAGCATGTTTAACCACTCGAGCTTGACCCTGTAAATTTTCTTCCCGATTAGTGCCTGTCACGTTCTTAAATTTGTCCAAGTCTTATCGATTTCCTCGACACCCACTGCCCTTGATATCTGAGGGTTTTTTTTTTTTTTTGGGCATTTGCATTGATTTTATTTTTTATCGACTGTGTCTTAGTTACGATTCTTGAATATAGAAACTCATAACTATATAGCATAATCAATATTATAATTTTGGTCTATGTAATTATGTGTGAGGAACTTCAGTGTTGCAATTGCCAATGCAATCAACTGTGCCTTGGCTTTTGAAGCCTTTTGAGCGACATTTTGCCACACACCCTTAACAACTATGGGCAAGTTGAAGAAATTTCCTGTGCCAGATGCATAATGAGGAAAACTCCATTGGTTGGATTTACCCCTGGGGTTGCATGTTGATTTTTAGTAACCAATCACATTCATTACTTTGCACCTCGCTGGCAAAAATATGGTTAACTGTCCTGCTGACATGTTGGTTGTGTCTGTTTCAATGCAGCAAATGACAATGATAAAGGCTCAAGCTGGGGTGAAGAATAATTTGAGAAGATTGAACAAGAGCATCTTTCAAAACGGTTCAAATCATATTCTTCATGTTATTGTTTTTGCGTTGTTATGTTTCTTTATTGTGTACCTGTGGTCCAAAATGTCCAGAAAATGAGACTAAAAGGCTGCCCAGCTTCCAGGTCGAAAGAAATGCTACTTCAGAGTTTCTTTGGACCCTCACATGATGCCTGATTCTGCTGTGAAGATCAGCTCCTTGAACCCCAGGGGGTTCGCATATCTGACTCTTCTATATGTATGTGGTATTTAGTTGGGTGAAGCGTCCTTCATGAAATTAATTGTTGTGCCTCTGTGTGTGTGTGTGACTTCTCGTCGTGTTGGTCGGAGAATGTCCTTACGGCTCAGGCATCCTGTTGATGGCGGCATACTTTTGATTGGCTTCTAATATTCGACTTCCGAATTCTTCACGCACAACCGATAATTCTACAAAGGGTGGAAGTGAACTGCAGGACTCATAGATATCGTCTAGTTTTAGATGCAAGTGTTGTGTTTTTGTTCAAGGTTGCTCAATTAAGTTGTGTGCAAGTGCGCTAATTAATTATTTACTGTTTTTCCGATTATTAATATAAGACCTATTTAACTAATTTGATGAGATTAAGAAAGTTAGGTAAGTTAGTTAATTATAAGAAATATGATATGTTTTTTTTAAAATATCATAATTATTTTCCTTAATATCCTTCCTCCCTCTTCTATTTGATTATGATTAGAGGAGTGTCTATGGGGATTTAGAAAAAATTAATAAATATAAGAAATAAGTTTTATATTTAGGGGGAGTACAATTAAAATGAACAGAAAACTTATATAAATGTAGATGCTCTGGGGAAAAAAAGATGAATATGGTCAAACGTACATTATTCCACTTCTGAAGAGATGTCTGAATTTGTTATGTTTTACAAAAGTGCCTGGAAAAAAAAGTTGAATCCACTGTATACTGATGATTTACGCTCATATTTGTACACTTTAAAAAATATTGCCATGCAAAACAATAAAAACAATCTATAGATGGTATGTAAGGAGTGTAGGAAACTGATTTAGTTTATTTGACGAGTAGATAATGCGATCTCTGAGTCCCGGGGGGGAGGAGAGATAACAGTACGATCTGATATGTTTGACTTATAATGGGTAGAGATATTCAAGATTAGTTGGTCTAACTAAATAATGATATTTCAAATATTTTTTCTTAACTAGTTAACTGACAATTTTAAATTATATACAAATTAATCAAAAGTCAAAACATCATAAGCATGACGAATAATTAATCAATAATTTTTCCTCAAATTCATAACCGACCTTTCCCCATCTTTTTTACTTTAAAATACTTGCGCATATTTAAAACCAAACGTCCTTTTGTATTTTTTTTTGGTGGAATCGCTTGTCAAGCAAAAGCTTATGAATGGACAGAAAACAGATTACATTTGATAAGAAATATTGAAAATGAGAGATAAAGATTAAAATTATAATTTAAAAAAATTATTAAAATAGTATTTAGCACAAGAAATTATTTGTTGTATAAGATTAGCCAAATTCATGTACGTGGAATTAGAGAATATCATAGAAAAAAGTAGTATTTCTCAATTTCACTTCTATAAGTTTATCTAATCATGGTATTTCCCAATCCCACCTCTATGGGTTTGTCTAATCCCATATAATAAATAATTACCCATCCTAAATACTATTTTAATGATTTTTTTAAATTATAATCTTAATCACTATCCCTTATTTTCAATACTTTTTTATTTTTCATTTTCAGTGCTTCCTAACAAACGGAACAAACGAGTTCAGCCAAGGCTGCATCCGGCTATTCAAACACCCAATTGACACCCTCACGGCGAATAGAGCAAGGCCAACCGGTGCTATATTAACAATCTATTTACATACACTGTACAAACTATCCGGGTTTTTCCAGTTAATTATTAGGCTGCATGAGTAAAGGGGCTAAGGGTAAAAAATATACAATATCGCAATTAGATCCCACTCCAAAGAATCTTGGTGAGAAAATGGCTCCCAGGCCAACACAAATGGGGCGTCATGTCAGCGAGTAATCCACTTGGTCCACATATGCTAGTGATGGAGAAAGTATAGTTGAAAACCCCCAGCCAAGCAATCGAGATAGTGGTATAGTGGTGTCAGCCTGTCAGTTGATCGGTCAAAATGCTTTACAGAGGTTGTTAGCCTTCATGTTAGATGATCCTTGCTGATCCATTGGACCTGTTGGTCCGCACAACCTGCTTCTCTTGGGTTCGGATATCCTCACATGTGAAATTGCAGACGCCAGCACATCAATCAACACACCATCGCCCTCATCTTCTGAATCGCTACTCTCCGAGGGTGAAAGCGGGCTTGAAATTTCACCATGGGAACCATCGTCTATCTTGTTTCCTCCTGGCCTATGTCCAGCAGCAATAAACTGGCGGCACGTGGCTCCTACCTGATGCTTCAACCTTGTTCTGATAGGCAGTTTTTCTAAAGTAGGTTCTGTGTAGAATAGTAACCATGGATGCCCTGAAATTAAATCACGGAATGTCAACTTACATGTAAGACAAGTTAAGACGTACACTATCAAAACAGTTTTCAAAACGTTTTAGTCTTGTTTTTCTTTTGCCCTCTTTTTTCCAAAACCATCCGTGATCAAAAAATATCGATCATAGCGTTAAGCACAGATACATGAGTCAAGTGAATAGCAGCATAAACAACCAACCACGACAACCCGCTAAAAAAGCTAAATCCCTGTACTAAGAATCCTTTAAATACAGACAATATTCTGGTGAACTCGTTTTATTTTTTTTAAAAAAATTACTTTATTACTTTAATTTATCAACTAATTAATATGAAAACTAGACACATTTTTTGGTGTATTGCATAAAATCAGAGAAATGAGAATCATGACCTGTAAATATTGCAGATAACAATTACATTTTATATTTCAGGGTTAAGGTGCATTTAGCACCTTGAAGTATTTTCTTGGGTGCTTCTAGCATACTGAGGTATTTTGTGGTGCATCCAATACTTTAAAGTATTTTTAGATGCATTCAGTGCCCTGAAGTGTATTTTTTTTGCTTTGGTGCTGGACACATCTAAAAAAGATACTTCGAGAAACTGGATGCACAAAAAAATACTTTACCGTGCTGAATGTATTTAAAAAATATTTTAAAGTGTTGGATGCACCATAAAATACTTTAGGATGCTAGAGGCATCTTAACCCTATATTTTATATTGATATATTAATGATGATGATTATATTGGTATATATACAATATACAATTTTTTTTTTTTTTGACCGGAATATACGATATATAATTAGTTCATGCAATATCAAAGAACAGATATAAAGCCAGCCATCTAAGACATGGCAATATACTAATATTATTGTGAACTTACTTAGTACTTCATCAGCGGTTATCCTTGCTAGAACATCCCTTGTCAGCATCCTCCCTACAAGATCTCGGGCAGGCTTAGATATCAAATCCCACATACCCTTTTGGTAATCCAGTTTGACATTCTTAATAGCCTCAAAGACTGCTTCCAACGAATCTCCATGAAATGGAAGAAAGCCAACTAACAGAGTATGCAGGAGAACTCCAGCACTCCACACATCCACCTTCTCAGAATAGCTACCCAGCAATACCTCCGGAGCAACATATGCAGGGCTTCCAGCCAAGCCAGTCAAGTTCTGACCTGAAATTTGAATTTAACTAATTAACTAATGAGGCATAACCAATGTTTTGGAAAGATAACAGAGTTGCATGTCAATAAAATACAATGTCGTTGATTCCATAATTTGATATTTCCAGATGTTTGAACATCGAATACAGACAATGGATCTTGCATAGGATTGGGAGCTTTCAAACTGATAGCAGGATATTTTCAGGTAACCAACTCTGGTAGTTAGACAAGGGTTTTATTGACTGTGAGTAAACAATATATGTAAAACGGAAAAAAATTCTCATCAATACAGGTTTTGCATATTACCATTAGATATTCTCATGGCCAGCCCAAAATCTGCAAGCTTTATTTTTCCCGATGCTGTTAGCAGGATATTTTCAGGTTTGATATCTCTGTGCACAACTCCCATATCATGACAATACTTAATGACTAACATCACTTCCTTGAGCACAGTAGCAGCCCTTTGCTCTGTATAAGGGCCCTCCTCAACCATCCTATCAATCAATCGCCCCCCAGAACACAACTCCATTACAAGATGGAAGCAGTCAGCTTCTTCATACACTGCCTGCAGCGTCACAACCCCTGGATGTCCAGATAAATGTTGCATTATCTCCACTTCTCGATGAACCGTCTCTTCCCCCTTCCTCAGGGTCTTACATGCATATTCTGCTCCACTAAGGCTGGACCGACACAAAGATACAGATCCAAATTTTCCTTGCCCAATCGTTTTACCAAAAATATAATCATCCTCTATCTTTTTCTTCCTGCCCATTTGGGTAGCAACATCAATGCATCCTATCTTCCTCTTAAGACCTCTTCCAGGCGTGATCAAAGATGATGTCCCACAAGGGGGAGCGGTGGCAAAGCCTGCAAGCCTTTTATTACAGGAAGCAACCGGTTCTGCACCAGCATCTTCTTTACACCTCTTCTTCAATCTGGAACAATCTTCAAGCGAGTAATGAGACTTCCAATTTGATGAGAGAGATCCATGGTTCCCATGATGTGAAGTCAAAATTTCTGGAAGATTTGAGGACGCATCTGTCTCGCTTCCTTTCCTTTTCTTCCTCATAACATCTGTTCTTGGAAGCTGTCCTATTTTGCCGCAAAATAATTTCGCAAGGTCGACTGTATAGTGAAATGCGAGCAGATCAGCTCGTCCAATGCCTTCGAATAAATTCACACCTACTGATAGATTACCCAGAATCAGCACAAACCAAAAGAGCACAGCAAAACAGATATATGAACCTCCCTACGCCTTTATCACAACTGAGAAAGTAAATCAAAACTCGAATAACTTCTACATCATAGTAGCGCCAAATGGCGGCATTACTTCAAGCCGGTATATGAAATACATTTCCTTCCCGAAACTGCACAAGACGCAGAAAATAATCAGAGAATCTGATTCCTTTATGCGAATTATAATCAATGCGGTTTCATCCTAAGCAGGTCCTCTATGATCAGACGGAGAGAAGCTAAAAGCTATAATTACAATCTACTTTACACTAAACACGAAAGGTGATGATCCATTCCTGAGGGAGACATCGGAGACAACGTCGCAGAGAAAATAACTAACCTCCGGAATTATCCATGTCCTTCAAATTCTAGAGATCGGATCGATTATTGAAGAACCAGAACGAGAGTGGCGTACCAAATCACCTAACGCCGATAACGCATTAAGGATGAAAGCAATCACGGAGAATTCGGGGCAATTTGGAGCAGAAAACCCTAAATATCTGCGATCGACGATTGGGTAAAATCCCCGTGACTGTAAAGGGTCATTTATCAACGCTCGGTCGGGTGCGATAAAAAGCACACAAACGGTGGCGTCGGCCCTTGGGTCCAGGCTTTTGCTTTCTTTCTTCACAGAGGGGTAAATTAGACTATGGCCATTCGACCTCATATGGTGGGGTGGGTAAATTATATGGTGCGCGCAGGACCACAAAAACTGCAGCAAAGACGAGTTGAGGGGACCGTGGATCGCTGACTTTTGAGGGATTGGACAGATCAGCGATGAGGTAGCATTTGGGTTTTCTGATGGTTTTCTGGTCTCGTTAAATAGATGAAAGGAACAGTGAAGGGTGTATTGACACGTGAGCAAAGTGTCTTTGGTTTCTTTCGGTGGACGACACGCAATCTGAATGGATCTCAGATCATGGGTGATAATTGCCCAATAAATTCGCAATTAAAATTTAATGACTTGTTTTAGTTATAGGATCTGGATTATGATTATCTTGCAGCACATTGACTTGATTGATTAAGAACCGAAGACCACAGACTATATTGAGTTGTGTGGTATAAGATAATTTTTGAAAAAATAGTTTCCCGTAACAACAAAATCAATCAAATTAACCATTCTATTACCTGAAAAGAATCAAATTAACCATTCGCAGTTTAGTTGGGTGCATACGAGTGCCTACTTACCCGAGTCTTGAAGTGGTATCAACAGTATACTCTCCTTTCTCGCTTTTCCCTCCTTTCATATTCTCCAGAGACTCTTATAGCTCGCGCCATAGAATAGGATATATCTAGAGAATCTGATAATCTCAAGATAGCCGGGGAATATTGTAAAATAACTCTTTATCTCTCTCATTTTATCTCTTTGCAATGTTTTAAGAGATAATTTCCAAAAATATTGATTCTTCCTGTCAAAAGAAACCTCAAAAGTATGAAGATTATATATTATTACTATTACTACTGTTGTTTCTTTCGTCATTATCGTTATTACTATAAGCTTCCATTCTGAATTAATTGCATATTATTCATTTCATTTTATCTCTATCTATTATCCATGATATGATATGGATCCAATAATATCCATACTAAAGCCATTATTAAAAACAAATAATTAATTGCTTTATGTATATTTTCCGAAATCAATTGTAAATGGAATAGAAAGAACTTCTCAAAAATAACTTACAAAAATAATGAATGTAGCATAATTATTCATATAGAACTAAATGCTTATAGACAAAAGCTTATAACCCGGATAGCACCCCACACTTGCTAAATCGTCCAAATTAAAAAAAAAAAACTAAAATCTTATATTAATCACACTACTTTCACTTCAAACCATGTGTTACGGCATTTAGCTAAGATTCTCTTGTTTATATCATGTATTATTTTACCTTTTAATAAAATTGTCTTCTTAACTAAAAACCGTGCTCCGCCTGTTATGATTATCCCTATTGTTATTGATGTTGTTGTTGTTAAAAGAAACAATAATCTAAAAATAATTATTATTAATGTTTCATTAAAACTCAAAAGTGACAACTATTTTGGAATAAAATCGAACCTCCAACTACATATTTTGAAAGAATTATCAGGTTGACACAACCTTGGACATCAAGTGCAGCTCTTGGGATAAGGATCCATGCGACCATCAGGAGTGCTCTACATTCTGATCAATTTGGTGCCAGCTCAAATAAAAGAAAAAGAAAAGAAACACACTTCGGTGTCAAACATAGCTCCGTAAACAAGGTGCAGGGAATCAACAAATGAATGAGGCTTATGGGAAAACTACCTTCCGTCCCATAACGCCATCTCTAGTGGAACTAGTTTCAGCCATCTCAAATTGAACATATTCGAAATCTACAAATATGTGATAAGGTAGCATTAAAAAAAAATACCACAAAGAACCCATTTGGAATAGCTTATAAGTAGTTTATAAGCTGTTTCTTAATAGTAATTTATGAAATACGAGGCAAGTATGTGAGAAGAGTTTTGTCTCGGTTTACGTGAAACGTATTTATAGAATATTTCACCGCTCTGTCAAACGGGGAGAAAATCAATCACAAGGGGGGAAAATGAAAAATCTGCGTGTATATCAGCAAGCAATGAGGACTAACCCCATGAAAACCATAACACCTACTCATTGCATACTTTAACAATGGCAAGGTTTCATTATCCATCCCCACTTTATCCTTTTCTATCATTTCAAGGACATGATCGGGTGGTTTGTTAGCAGCGAGGTGTATGCGGAGCCATATTTTATACAGTGACAAACTTGCAAGACCAGAATTGCGGATATCTGTAATGTACTCATTCGCATCTTCAAAATTTCCATGTTCCTCGAAATACTCCGCAATGGCCAACAGGAGTTCGTGTGGCGGTCTCCAGTTGCAGTCTTTCAACATAGCAAGAGCTCTCTTCACACGGTAAAACAGCCTTGTCCATGTTCTTGCTCTTGACATATCCTTCCACCAGAATTTCCCATGTCTTATAATTTGGACGACCTCCTCTCTCCAATGCATGAGCATGTAATGATTCGGCTTTTCCCACCATTCCATTCCTCATGTATGCACCCAAAAGAACATTGGAGACCCTGATATCATAGTTCTGACAGTTAGACTCCCATTCCATGAAGATGTTCTCAGCTTCTGTGATGTTCCCAAGCTTAACCAACCAAACAAGACAATACACAAATGTAGTTGACACATGTGATTCTACCACCAACCAACTTACTACTACTAGCTCTCCAGAGCCGCAATACTCCCTCCTTTTCCTTCAAAGACGCATAAAGCGTCATGAGGAAAAAGTAACCAAGACGATTACAATTGGATAGTTTTTTTTCTGCGTTTCTTAGAACAAGAATGGCTTTGTCAGATTGTCCCGCTTTCAAGTAGATATTGGCCAAAGTAGCAAGACTGCTCCATCCCACTTCAACATTTTGATCATTTTTCATCTCTCTAAAAACCATCTCTGCAGCAGTAACCCCAAGTCCTTCCCCCTCATGGCAAGCATTCATCCAAATGTTGTAGGAAAGAACATCAAAGAGGATTTTGTTTCGTCTCATTTGCTGGATAACAAGGGGGACTTTGTTGTACTCATTTGTAGCTACATACAACTTCATCATCTCATTGTAAGGGAGTGGGCTAACAACTAGCCCTAGTTCATAGAGCTTTTGCATGAAAACCTCAGCTTTATTCGTGTCTCTATCTCTTACATAACCTCGAAGAATTGGGAGATAAGTAGCCTTCTGGGTAGATATATCGGGTAAGCGCAAAAAGTACTTTTCAGCCTCCACCACACCACGAATTTTTATAATTAATTCCAATTTGGCACCATAATCCGCTGGTGACATCCGAAAATTCTTCTGGCTTTCCATCCATGTCATTATCTACGAAGAAAATAAATAAATAATTTTAATTTTCAATGAATAGAATGGATTCTGTCGCATCTAGTTCGCAATTTGCATCATGTTAACTTGCTCAGAAGCGACCAAAAGGAACCACATCCAGCAACGGCACGCTAAGTAATGCTGTGAAGTTTCAAGCACATATATATTCCTGACTTTCTGGTTTTCTTCTGTTGGAGTATTGGTTACTGAGTAGAGTTAGTTGTTAGTTATTGCTCTCCCACCCGATGTTATAATCTACACAAAGAGCTATAGGAGTATTGGAGTGTTACCTCACTTCAATTAGTTCTCATCACCCATGTTTCTCCTATCAATAATGATTCTTTGTTAATATCAGTTATCGGTTTATTGTTAGTGTTATTTACCCGGTGAGTTTTGCTCAAGTTAAAAGTTTCTCTTCAACACTAGCATTAACCAAACAACAATTATAGAAAACAAAGCATTTAATACAAGGAAATCGAACCTCCAGTGAGTGGTGGTAGCGTTTTAATGAGAAGAGTATCTTGGAGATGCGTCTGAGTTCTGAGGTTGAGACGTTGTTGCCCTGGTCAACCCAGTTTTGAAGCACGGACGTTGGAATTGGATCAGAAGGTTTAACTCCCAGAATCCGTTTCTTCAGGTTGTCTTTCTGTGTCAATTCCACGTCGAATGCAGCACCGCGGGTAGCTAGGGGCCTCCATGGACTTTGAGGGCTGAATAGAATGTTGTAGCTGTACGAAAATCATCTCAAGTGTCAGTGCATCATCGCCAGAAATCAGGGAGCCAGAGAACCAGAGCGACCTACCTTCTGAGACCGGCGAAGAACAAGCGGTTCGCCGCCATAGAGCCCCGGCATTCTCCATCACAGACTTTCGGGTTACGACCCGTCACCTCGTTTCGCAGCACAAATGGGATAGAAAGTTTGGACCGTCCATACATGTGGGTCCCATAATTCTCACGGTCCAGATTCACGGTAAATACGGCACAAATTCGCCCCCAAACGATGTAATTAAACGCACCATTGAATTTTCTTGATTCCCACTGCAGGTGCGCCAAAAGATTGAGCTAAAGCCCCTAAAACCCAAGAAGCAAATCGGAGCATTCCGATCATCGTTCAATCGGCATCATCTCTTTACGGGGCTTCATTTTTTTCAACTTTAAAGCTATATCTACAATCGGCTGAGTGAATGCGACGGTTTAGTTGGTTAACGCCGGTGAGTATTTGTCATTCGAACAATGTCAGAAGTCAAATTTCTGTTTCTTTTTCTCTGCGTTATTGTAATTTGTGTCCAAAGCAGTATCGGCGTCGACTGCTTGCATCTATGGCTTTGGAACCGCCCGTTGATCAAGGAAAGTCCATGAGTACATTATTGTCCTCTGGCCAATCGTTGTCTATCAGACGAGGCACGTTTTTGAATTTCTACTTTTCTTAATACTAATTGCCATTTCCTTTCGTAAGCTTAATATTTTCTCTTCTTTTCTCTCTGTTTTTTTTTTTTTTGGGTGCTGTAACAGCTTTGATGAGCTGCAATTTTGCCAAAATAAACGACCAGTCTGCAACTTCAAGAATACCTTTAAATTATCGTTATATTCATGCCACAGGTTTGGATGAACCGCGAATCACCATATTTTTGCTCATTATCAGTGCTTACATTACCTCTCAAATATTCGGACTTTCATTCATTTCTTTCTATGCCTGTTATTCCAGCATTTCTTTCTTCAATTGAGCGAGACTACTATCAAATTCTTGGTGTTCCTGAAAATGCCAGTCAGGACGATATCAAGAAGGCATTTCACAGAGTGAGTGCTTGTTGGAAAGAATTCCTTTTGTGGGGTACTAATACCATGTGATCAAAGCCAGCTGATAGACTTGAATAGGAATGAGGAAGTAGAAGCATGATGCATATGCAGAGAGAAAATCAGAAAGACTGATTGAAATTGGATATTATACCACGTGTTGAAACAATTAAGTGATGAAAGACGAAAGAAAATTGAAGCTACTTAGTTACAAGCATTGCTAATATAGTTTTAGTTAATATGACCTTGTGACAAGATGTCACGAGTTTCTTTTTGTGATCGAGATTGATTTTTTTTTTTTTTTTAATACAAACTGTATAACTACTCAACCAAAACAAGGCCAGACAGGCCAAACAAGTTTAAGTTCCCTTATCAATCGCCGCCTCCTTAAGTGGAGGTTGGGTTGATCAAGAATACAAAAACATGTCATGCGAAGCTTTAGCTATCTGATCAACTAAAAATAATTGAGTCCTACTAACATGATTTAAATCTACCTGCCAATATCTATGAAGTACTAGCCTAGTGTCCTCTACAATGTTCCTAAAAGGGTGATTAAAATTACAACCTCTAGATAATAAATTCAAAACCTCAATACAACCAGAAAAAAGGATAATAGCTTTATAGCTTTTCTGCCAGCACCAATTAAGGCCAATCATGATGCCTAAGACCTCTGCTATGGCTGGAGGGACTGGAGCAAGCTTACTGCTGAAACTACTTATCCATTGTCCGTCTTTGTCTCGAATGACTCCTGATCGAATTGATGTTGAAAGAGTAATAATACGCAAAATTTTTACATAGTTTGAGATATGGTCAACAAGTAATAACGTGAAGTTCACTGAAGTGAAACTAGATCATATGAACAGCTGTTTGCTGAAGGGTTATAGTTGCATTATAAAATAATACTCTCATTCTGCAACTTAAAAATCATGGTTGAAGATGTTTTCACTTGGACTGTATCATGAACACTTCTCTTCCTTTTCAGCTTGCTAAGAAGTACCATCCTGATGCAAATAAGAATAATCCATCTGCTAAGAGGAAATTTCAAGATATAAGAGAAGCTTATGAGGTATTTACTATAATTTCTATGGAACTGTCATCTTCTTTCCACGTGGATATTTGAAAATTAATTGATTGATGGCATGGTATTCTCACATGCCTTTTTCTAATTCGACTTCAGACCCTGAGAGATTCTAAAAAGAGGACACAGTTTGACAAGGTAATTTTTCTTTTCTCCTGAGTTGTCTTCATCATCATCCTTCTTCTTGTATGGATGGTCTGGAATTTTAGTTGTTTAGAACTCTTTTGAAATTCCGTAATTCATAGTATTCATTGTTGTTTTAGTGAACTAATTATTTCTGTTATATTCTGTGACGAACTTCTATTTTAACTGAAGATGCGAACTTCAGATTCTGAGAATATAGAATATGAACGGGATGCTGAAGAACGGTTTAGAAATGCTTATAGGGCTCACTTTTCAGATTCATTTCATAAAATCTTCTCTGAGGTATTCATATTGGTCTTGCAGCTATGGCTTTTATTGTTACTTGAATACACAAGAACTAGATAAAAATCTGTTTCATTCTTCACAGATATTTGAAGAAGCGACCACTCATTCTGCATCAAATATTGAGGTCACCCTAATGTTGTTTTTCAGTTGTTATGTTGAATAATTTTTTATATTGAAGCTAAACCATTTCCTTGTTGTTTTGTTAATAGGTTGAGATATCACTTTCTTTCTCAGAAGCTGTTAAGGGGTGCACCAAACATGTGTCTTTTGATGCAGTTGTTCCCTGTGATTTTTGTGGTGAGTAAAATTTATATATGCTTGGAGAAAAACAGTTTATATATCCTTGGAATGTGAAATCTGGAACGCCGTCTGACAATAATGTATATGCTAGAATCATTTCCAGGTTGTCAGTATATGGATGATGATTGCAAAATAAGTCAAAATCAGAACTTGCAATCGGAAATGATAAAAAAAATCAAGACAGAGAATCGACTTATTGTTGCATTGCAATTTTGCAGGTTCCCAATCCTTGAATGACATGTAGAATAAGGCACAGAGATTAGCAACGTTTAGAAATCAATCCTGTCAAGCGAAACATGCATTAGGATATCTCAGGAACCCAATTTTTGGAGGGTGGAGGTTTGAAAAATATGGCTCCACTGATATTAGGGTGGGCTTAAGTGGAGAGATCAGTCCCATGAGATTATGAGACACAAATACTGACAAGCAATATTTTTTACAAGCTTAGGAAACATGCAAAGTATGCACCACTGAATATGTAAATTGTTGCCTCAATTCACTTCTGTCTGTAGTAATAAGTTTAGGCAGTCTGTTTCTTGTTCCGCTGTACATGATTTTATTAGAGTGGATTATTTTTTCATAATGCAGATGGGCGAGGCTATTCGCACAATGCAAAGGCAATTGTTTGTCCAACATGCAGGGGCGTAGGCAGAGTAAGTGCCTTAAAAGAACAATAGTGATGATTATTATGAGAAAATCCTATCAAGATTTTGGTGTTGAGACTATTCATTTTATTGGTTGTCCAGTTCTTAACGTACTCCTTCATTCTTCTTTTTAGACAGCATTAATCCATGCTTGATTGCAATGTATTTTGACTAGGTTACAATCCCTCCATTTACATCAACATGCATCACTTGTAGAGGATCAGGGCGAGTAATCAAGGTCTTCCATCATCTTACGTTGAATAATCTTCTGTGTTCGATCTCTTCCTCTGAGATTGTTAATGTATATCTTCCTTGTGTAGGACCACTGTAAATCTTGTGGAGGATCTGGGGTGTAGAAGGCATTAAAGAGGTTAAAGTTACTGTACCAGCAGGTTGGTTTCTAATTTTTGTGATGAAGCTACTAACGATTGTAACTTTGGTCCATCAAGAATAAATATAGTTCATATTTCCTTTCTTTTCTTTCCTCTTTTTTTTTTTTTTTTTTTTTTTTTTTGGGGGGGGGGGAGGGATTAATGCACATCTTTAATCAAAAAATCCCTACACCCAATCCAGCTATGCATATCCTCACATTTCTATTTTACTATATTCTCCTATCCTAATCCAATTCCAGATAACCTTTTATCCTCTCTTCTCCAGCTTAGGTTGATTTACTTGGACCATACTGTATCCATTCCAGTGCATTATGGGACGGGCATCAGGCTCCCTATTACTAATGTTAAGGAACAAACCCATTTAAATTAAAAATTGAAAGCATCTGGGGTGCAGAATTTCTTGCCTAGATCTTCTCTACCACCTGTGTGTAATGAAGAATCATTCATTAATTTTATTTTATATTAACTTTTTTTCTTGATCTAATCGTAGTCTTCATTGAATTATTAGGTGTGGATTCAGGAGATACAATTCATGTGCCAGAAGCTGGACATGCTGCTGGACGTGGAGGTCGACCTGGAAGTCTATATATAAAATAAAGGCATGCCTACACATTTTTTGTTTAAACATTTTTATTAATTCAGATTTGTTCTCAGGTTAATCTATACTGATTTTCTGGTGTATGAATCTGTAAATTTGCCTATTTCTTAATTCTTAAAAATTGAGATAGTCTCAATCAAACCTATAGGAAATTTTGATATTTAGCATGCATGAATTTGATTTGCTGCAATATTTTATTTTTTCAGTAAAGTGACATATTTCATGAAAAATCATATCGCTATCTAGAAGTTTACACTACTATTTAAAACCAAACTTCTAGATCAATGAAAAGCTTTGGCGGTACTGCCATTTACTTTTGCTGGTCATAGTTAATTATATTTTGGTCTATTTTTCCTTGATAATCATTATTTTTTATTCTCATTTGAAGTTTGCTTTTCTGGCAATATAGGTCGCTAAGGATCCTGTTTTTGCCAGAGACGGTGCAGATGTTTATGTGGAGTCTAACATCAGCTTTACGCAAGTGAGAATCGAGTAGTATTAACCTGTCAATTGCCTTTGTTTCTGGCTCGCTTGTTGGTACTTAAAAATGATATTCCGATGAACCTGAAGCTGCGCCTTACTTTTAGTTTTACATATAAATAATTATTATCTATTTCATATTCACATACAGTCTAAATTTGCTAAATTGATGATGTGCTTCTCCTTTTGCTGTTGGACAACTTGGAAATGCTGCCAAATACAGTTGTCATAGTGAAAAGTTCTGTAAAGCATACTCATATTACATGCATATATATAGAATGAAGAATGTGTTGAAACTTGTCC